AGGTTGTATATTAGTTATATAATAGTTGAATTAAAGATAATACAACATAAACATTGTTGAAATAAAAAATATACCTGATATGAAACATCTTGCATCTCTTTTGGGAGGATTCCAAGGTGTCCCCCCCCCCCCCCGCCAAGAGATATAGTCTCTTTGGAAAGTCCTCGGTCATCCAGGGTCTCTTCCCATTTGAGCATGGCAGGAAAACCTTCCTAGGAATGCATTTTGGGCACATCCCTACTAGATGTGGGAACCACCCCAATTGCCTCCTCTCAATGTAAAGGAGCAGTGGCTCTAATCTGAGTCACTCCCTAACAGCTGAACTTCTCACCCTATCACTATATGAGAGTCCAGCTATCCTGCAGAGAAAACTCATTTCTTCTAATTGCTCTAGTGAGAGCTGGAGATCATAGTACAATGACACCAACAGGAACACATCGTCCACAAACAATTGACAGAATCTTTATGCCACAGAACTGAGCTCCATCTCTTCCTTGGCTACACCGAGATATTCTGTCCATAAAAGTTATGAATAGAATCTGTGATCATGAGCAGCCCTGGTGGAATCTAACTCCCATCCAGAAGGGGTATGACATTGCTGGCAGCAATACAAAACAAACTCTCATATTGCTTGTATAGGGACTGAATGACCAATAGGAACTGACCCCAAATCCCATTCTTATGGAGCACCCCCAGCAGTATACCTCAAGGACCATGGTTGAATGCCTTCTCCAAGTCCACAAAACACATGTACCTGTAGACTGGATGGGCAGACTCACAGGCCCACTTTAGGACCCGAGTAATGGTAAAAAATCTGGTCCAGTGTTCCAAGCTGGATTCTACATCGTTCCTTTTGAGTGTGAGTTTCGACCATCATTTAGATTCGATTCCCCAGCACCCCTAAATAGATCTTACCGGGGATTCTAAGGAGAGTGATGCTCTGTATTTGGAACACACCTTCCAGTCCCCGCTTTTTGAAGAGGGAAATGCACCACCCCAGTCTGCCAATCTAGTGGTACTGCCCCCAATGTGCATGTAGTGTTGTAAAGGTGTGTCAACCAAGACAGCTCAGCAACATCCAGAGCCTTGAGGAACTCAGATCAAATATCTTCCCTGTACAGAGCCCTGTTGCCACAGAGCTGTTTAACTACTTTGGTGGCTTCAGCCCTAGTTATGGATGAATCGACCCCCAAGTCCCCTGACTCAGCTTACTCTGTGGAAAACATGTTGTTGGGATTGAGAAAGTTAGAGAAGTATTCCTTTCATTGACCAACAACATCACTGGTTGAGGTCAACAGAACCCCACCTCAACTATACAAATCTTTGGTAAGATCTGCTTTCTCCACCTCAGCTGCTTGATGTTTTTCCAGAAACTTCTTGGAACTGATTGCAAGTATATGTCCAAAACTCGCCAAACTCCTCCCACATTTGAGTTTTTGTCTCAGCTTTAGCCATGGCTGCAGCCCCCTTGGCTTGCCAACACCCCTCCACTGCCTCCAGAGTTCTACCAGCCAACAAGGCCTGATATGACTCCTTCAGCTCAATGGCCTCCCTCACCCCAGTTGTCCACAACTGGTTCTAGGATGGTCTCGATGAGGGGCTCCAACAACATTGCAGACACAGCTCAGGGCAGTTACATTCATAATGGAGGCACGTTACATGGTCAGTACATGTCCCTCACCTCAGCTTGGACGCAGTTGAAGCTCTCTGAAGTGGAAGTTGAAGATTCTTCAGACGGGTTCATCTGCCAGGCATTCCCAGCAAACCATCACTACACATTTGGGTCTTCTGTGTTTGTCTGGCATCTTCTCTTGCCATCTGATCCAACTCAGCTGACCTCAGCTCCTCTTTTCACTCAAGAATCCAAAACATACTGCCACAGATCAGATGACACAACTACAAAATCTATAATTTATCTGTGACCTAGAATGTCCTGATCCCATGTGCTCTTATAGACACCATAATGTTCAAACATGGTGATAGTGATAGACAAACCGTGACTAGCACAGAACTCCAACAGAGCACCACTCAGGTTCAGTTTAAATAGGGTTCCTCCTAATCATGCATATGTAGTATGACATATCCTGAGATATATTCATACATTAAACGGGTTCACTCATCTTTCTGGACTGTGTGATGTACGTGCGTTGAATTTAACAGAAATGTGGACGTGAGACGTTAATTATCTTTGACTCACCAAGCGAGTGGGTCATTTATTAACAGAATCAAGTTTAACACATCACACATTTACATTAATTTGGCAGAATATGAAAACAACAACATAATCAGCTTTACAACCAGGAAACCATACGTGACCTAGAATGTCCTGATCCCATGTGCTCTTATAGACACCATAATGTTCAAACATGGTGATAGTGATAGACAAACCGTGACTAGCACAGAACTCCAACAGAGCACCACTCAGGTTCAGTTTAAATAGGGTTCCTCCTAATCATGCCACTCCAGTCACACTAGTGCTACTCACATGGGGATTGAAGACCCCATCAGAATAAAAGAGTCCCCTGCTGGAGCACCTTGCAGCAGCCCAGCTAAGGACTCAACACCAAGAAACTTCCTCTTTACAGATTTAACATTCACTTATTTTACCATAATCCTCTTTCAAAACATTTTTGAGAAACTTGTGGAAAAAAGTAAGTTGTCATAAAATCTGTAACACTTTTTATTTAAAATTTGATGAATTCAAAAATATCAGTTTACAAAATTCAGTAAGGAGGCAGCTGCATTTGAACTAAAACAATGAGAGACTGCGACAAAGTGAAGATTCAACACAATCTGCTGGCCTCCTTAGATAGAAAACTTTTACTAATTGACTTAAATAATCTATGTGAATGTTGTTGTACAGTGCTATGACTTCTGCTGTGACTTGGTGCTATAAATTGAACTGAATTGAGTTGAACAATTTTCATGTGTCATACCATGTCTGAGTGGATATGGAGATAATGGATTAATGGGTCTCTAGTTATTTTTTTATTTCATAAAGGAGTGTGTTTCATAAAGGGCAGCACGGTGGCGCAACTGGTAGAGCTGCTGCCTCTCAGCGAGCAGGTCCCTGGTTCAAACCCCGGTCCAGGGGCCTTTCTGGATGGAGTTTGCATGTTCTCTCTGTGCTTGCATGGGTTTTCTCCGGGTGCTCGGGTTTCCTCCCACAGACTAAAAACATGCATGTTAGGCTGATTGGTAACTCTACAATTGTCCCTAGGTGTGAGTGAGAGAGTGAATGGTTGTTTGTCTCTATGTGTCCCTGTGATGGACTTGCGACCTGTCCAGGGTGTACCCCACCCCTCGCACAGTGATTGCTGGACATGGGCACCGGCGACCCCCGTGACCCAAAATGGAATAAGCGGGTAAGGATAATGGAAGAGGAGTGTGAACTTGTCGGTATGTTCAGTCTTTTTCACATTTTGCAGGTTTTCTAGTTTCTCCCATTTGGTTTCCTGAGTAAACATGTTAAATTTATAGAGCATCTGTAGTTTGACACCATAGCTAAAGTCAAAGATGTTTCAGTGCTTGCAGCTTTGAAATTGGCCAACAGATCTTGTTCTACATTGACTAACAAACTCAAGTCTTAAATTCTTTTGTTTTTAGCTACATGTAGAACACTCTTTATTCTAGAACTTACCTTAAAGTTTTAGCTGCAGACCATGCTGAAAGCAAGAATGGCTCTGGTTTATCTTACTATCCTTTTGAGCTTCAGCTCTCAGCCTTGTTGGTAAGGTTTAGCCTAAAAGCTTGCATATGTGCAGTCTGAGCATGTTAATGTTTTAACTACTTCTGTCACTTTCCCTTACATCACCAAACGGCCTGATTTAGTTTTCTCCTCATCACACCCCTTCTCATTGGAAGCTGTTGCCCGCTGTCTCTGTTTTATTTCCACTTCCTTCCCTCCCCTTCATCTCTGATGTTTCCACATGAGTGATGTGTTGCATGTGTGTCTCTCACAGACAAAGATGAATGCAGCAAGGACAACGGTGGCTGCCAGCACGAGTGCATCAACACAGTGGGCTCTTACGTTTGTCAGTGTCGCCATGGCTTTGTGCTGCATGAGAACAAACATGACTGTAAGGAAGGTGGGTTTCATATACACTCATATCCAAGACACACATACTGGCACAAAAAACACCAAAGTGGACTTGTACGGTAACACATCAATGCTAGCATGTGTCAGTCATAAAATCACAACTCATCCATCAACATCTAGATGACAAGATAATGTTTTGTCATGAGGGAAGCATTTTTTTTTTTTACATATTTCTATAACAAAGATCGCCACAGTCTTGGACCAACCACTTGGCCCCATCTCCTCCTTATTGCACTGGTCATCTAGCAGTCCAAATGGCCCTCCATGCACCTATGGACCAAACAAAACATTTAGGAGTTGAATAATGATAGACTTGGCTTTCATTGAAGGATCTTACTAGACCAAAAACAACTAGAGAATTTGCATTTCCTGTGAAAATGCAAGTGTGAATGCCTCTTGCTTACAAATGTCAAGAAAACAGTTGAAAAGTAGCTTAAATAGCAGAAAGAAGCTTCAAATATCAGAAGGAAGCAGAACATGCACAACTGATCCTAATGTAATGGACTGCCAGACTGCTGCCAATATAAACTGTTGATCTGACAGTAGTGTGTGTTTGGGTTTGCTCTCTGAATAGCTCTAAAAATGCCTGAGTTATTGTATTTTTTCCTTTTTAGCTAAGGCCCACATGTTGGATTTTTGATTTGGATTCAGTATGTGATAGGGAATGTTCTCAGCTATAGCCTCATCAAATTTCACCTCAGTATTGGTAACAATGGCTGAGTTAAATCCATTCAAAAGTAGTGCTGGAAGCCATCTTGGATTTTTGATTTTCATGTGGCATTTGATGGGAAACATTGTCAGCTACTATGACACAAACTTTCAGCTCAATATGACTAAAATTGGCTGATTTATAGTATTTTTTTCCTTTTTTGCTAAGGCAGCTATTTTGAATTTTTGATTTTAAATCTGAGTCTATTAGGGATTGTTGTCAGCTACCAATACACCAAATTTCAGCTGAATCGTTCTAAAAATGGAAGAGTTATCCTAGTTTTTCTATAAAACAGCTGAATGGTAGCTAAAGAAATGCAGAAAGAAGCTTAAATTTTCAAAAGGAAGTGGAGGGAGCTTAATTGTGCCCACTAAGGCTGAAACAGGCAGAAATTAGTACAATAACGTTGAAATTATCTGAGAAAAGCTGAAATTTGCTAAAAACGGCTGATAAGTAGTGGTAGATAGAAAAAAACTTACTAGAAGGATGTCGGGGGAACATGTTTTTGCTGAATTAAGCTGACAAAAGTCTAAATGATTACAAAAAATTGGAATTAGCTGATAAAGATGAAATTAGCATGAAAACAGCTAAATGTTAGTTGAAATAGTAAAAATAGTGGAAACATCCAGAAATAAACTGAAAGGAGCAGAACAAGCATAAATAAGTTTGAAGAAGCACAAAAATGTTGACGTTAGCCAAATGAAGCAGAAAGGAGCACAATACAGCTGAAAAAACAGCTGAAATTAGCTGAACTGGCTGATTTTTGTTTAAAATTTTGCACAAGGAAGCTGAAAGAACCTTAACCAGGTCTAAATGTGCAAGTATTAGTACAAGGTTGGAAACAGATTAAAAGTTATGAAGGATGTAAAATTAGCTCCATTCATTTTAAATGAAAGCAAAAATGGCAGAAAAGGCTAAATATCTCAAAAAGCTAAAGTTGCACCAATATCAAAAGTCATAGCAGTCATGTCCTAGCTGAACATTTTGATTTATGATTTGTTGAAATAGCACAAAATTTTCAGGAGTAGTTAGATGCCGAAAAACATACGGTTGAAAAAGTGGATCTTAATAGTGTGAATGCCTACAGGCAACAGCTGCAGATTGAAATGTTTGAGAAGATTCATATGTATGTCAAATTCCATTCCCTAGCATACTGCTTTGCTTTTACTTGAACTCAAAATGTGTGCTGATAAAAAATAAAATAAATAAACAATTCCACTACAAAATGAGAAACATTTTTAAAAAGCCAGTTTGCCATCACTTACTGTCAGGTGCAACATCAAAATGCTCATAAATGCAACAGACATTGGCATACATTTATTTATTCTTGTTAAGAAAGATAATGATACCAAAAATGTATTAAATCATAACAAAGACCTTATTCATTTTTTTCCTTAGTGCAATTTCCCCCCAGTTTTACTCTTTTGAACTCATTTTTAATTAAATTACCTACATGTGTTTCTCCTAAAATGTCCTTTGGTCTGTTTTGATAATACTTTTTGACTGTTCGGGGTGCCAACAAAACTTGCTGAAGAATTGCTCTTCCAGATCACAGACAATGTTTAAATACAGTATGGATCTGCTATAAACTTTGTGTATAGTAAATGTTATCTAAAAAAAGTTAAATCTGGTCCTCTGGACATTCAAAAAAAACCAAAACAAAGCAAAACAACAAAAAATGTAGAAACGTTTCGTCTCTC